GGCAGCGGAGGCCAAGGCGCGGAAGACGCTGGGGGCCGCGGAGTACGTGGAGGCGTGCGGCTTCGCGCCGGGCCTGCTGCCCACGCGCAAGGACGTGGTGCAGAACATGCTCTACCTGCTGCAGCCCAAGCGCGCCGGGCAGGCGCAGCGCTCCAAGGAGGACGCGGCGCAGCTGCTCGCCGAGCACCTGCAGGAGCACTGGCTGCTCTGCAACCTGCACACCGTCGCCACCAAGAGCATCAAGAAGAGCATCCTCAAGATGTACGAGGAGTTCACCAAGCTGTACCAGACGCGCAAGCAGAGGCAGAACCAGGCGTTCACGGAGCGCGCGGGCAGGTTCAACGAGAGCTCGGAGAAGCTTTTTGACATCTTCTGTGTGGACACGCTGACGAGAAATAAGCTGGAGGAGTACAGTGGCGTAAAAATGACTGTCACCGAGTGGAAGTTTCTTGAAGATCAGAGAAGCGAAAGAAAAATGTCCTATGAAGATTGTACGGACAAGCAGGAACTGAAGCTGATGGAGAGAAGGCAAAAGATCCAGTGCTTGGAGCACTTCAGAAAGCTTGCCAAAGAGGAGAAGGAAGGAAACAAAGCCAAGGAGAGGACGTACAGGAGCGATGAGCAATCGGATGAAGGCACGAGCGTGGACGAATCCTGCCCCGCGGAGGAGGAGAACGGAGGGGCTCCGGCCTTTTCGCTGAGGGCCAGGAGAAAGCGCCGCTGCACTGCGGCTCCCGCCGGTGGCTCTGTGCCCCTGGAATGCCAGCATATACGGATGAGCATACGGAGAGTTAGGCCGGGCTTCTACGAGACTGTGGACAAGGTGCAAAACTGCTAGCGTACGCCAATGGTGGCGAGCCGAGCTGCTGGAGTAGCAGGTGGCAATACACACTCGAGGCAAGTTTGAAACCCCACAATCAATTGGAAGTGACTGCTGCAGATCCCCAGGCAAAGCTCGGGAACGTCCTGTCTCCAGGGGAGAGCGCCGGGAGGGCGGCGGCGAGGACTAAAACACACGGACTTGGAAGGCCAAGTCGTCATCAGCTCATGACCTGAAGGCTCAAGCACGGCAAATGATCTAAGGTTACATGGCAGATAAGCCTCTTCGCCCAAGGTCCTGGCTACAGGACTGTGTTTTTAGAAGTCTCTCACCATTTTGGAGGCAGTGGTGGCCTAATCCTATAAAACAGGACTCTCATTTACTGCAGGGAAATAACTTGGACTTGTCACTAATGTAAAATTCACGTGCTGAACAGTTGTAACTCCCCTTAATCCCACAGGGAGTGCAGCATGTTCGGCCCCTCCCAGAATTTGGCATTTCTGTGAGGAAGAAAGCTATTTTTTTAGCTTGTATTACCCAGTCCCGAAGATGCTGACTGATTTTGTTAACGGATTGCTTTCTTGCTTGAGGAGGGGAAGACAGAGATAAGATGAGAAATTTTTGAGTACTTTGGTTTTAAAAATTTTGGTGATGCTGAATGTTTTATTCTGCACAGTGACATTTCATTGATCAGGACAAACCTTCCCATAATTTCATGATCCTTAACATGAAATCACTAATCCAGGGAGTGAGAGGGGTGAGCCCTGAACGCAGGGCTCGTGTTCCACCTGCCGCAGGGGCAGGCTGGATGGAGCAAAGCCAACTCCATTGTGTGCTCTGGGGTGGGAAGAGCTTCATAAACTCTTACCCTGCCTTCCTGGGGTACGGGGAAGAAAAAGCCTTCCCAAGAATGCGTAGCTGAGGCGTTTGCAGTGAGAGGCTTCTAAACCTGGGCTTGCTTTTCCACCCCACATAGGTCCGTTCAGACAGCAGTGTAGAGAAGGTAGTTTTGCACCAGGAGTTTGTTTGAACATAACAAACCCTCTTGCCCTCCTGTTTCCCCCCAGAAGTGGCCTGTCTGTGGCTTTAGATACACGCAGCATGAAGGCAGCTGCTGTTTTTAGTTAAATTGCTTTACTGGTTTTTAAAGATGAGAGGCTTGAACTCCCTGTGAAACCCGCTGCTGGAGATCTCTCTGGTGAACTTCCCAAACCTCGCCAAAATATGCTCAAAATGAGTAAGCAAGTCTCTGAGTGTCCAGAGAAGCGCTCTGGCAGAAGCAGCTCAAACTTGCCTAGTTTTCAGATTTACCTTCCAGTGTGGACGTTGTTTTCCCCACTCCAGTATCTCAGCTGCTCCCTGTTCCTCCGCTCTAAACACCCTGCGTATCATTTTACTGACATTAACTTGTGCTGTTTCATTCTCTGTCTTTTGCTCCCTTTGACAATAAATGCATGTACAAATAAGTTCAACAGCTCCTGTAGCTTTAATGAATCACTTTGTGGACCGCTTTGACGTCCTATGCCAAGGGAGGAATGAAACGCAAAGTAGCTGCCCTGCAGGCTGAGGTGAAGCAGGAGGCCGCAGGAAGGCAGATTCCCACGTTGTCTCTGTGCTGTCCCTCCTCCAAGGACGGATCCGTCCAGCCTTGAGTGAAATGGCAGCTTCCCAGCACACTTGCTCCTAAGCGATTGCTGGGATCCACGGTGTGTGGCACTGAGAAGCTCTCCAGGGTAAGTTGCTCCAAAATATTTAGCACATACTGCATCACTGCAGGTGTGATAACCCGTATGCACGATCTGCAGGGCCCTTCGGCCTCCTCTCCTCCTCCTCTCTCTGACGTGCTGCTCTGGCTCCCTTGTGCAAGCGATGTCACGTGTGAACTATTTGCCTTCCAGCCCTGAGGTGCTGGGCTCGAGCCTCTCACTGGGCTTCCACACCAGCAGCTCCGTCTCAGCAGGGAATATAGCCAAGCTCCGACCTCGCAGAAGTAGAGTTTTGTGTTTTTAATAACTGCTGTAACCCCCCCCTCTTCATATTACAGATACAGCCTGCAGCATAAATGCTACTGCACAAAGCAAATCCGCCGGGATCGACTCGCTTAACGCGGCTGTCTTGCGCTTTATTCAGGGAATTTCAGGTGGTCGGATGTGACTTCCTGCATGCCACAGGCGACCGCACTTCGGGCAGCAGCCCCCGCTCAGCCTGGCTGTTTCCTCCAGCAGCAACGTGTCCCGCAGAAAGGCCCGAGCTGGGGAGTCAGACGTCCTCCTCCGCTCGGCCCTTACTGCTTTGTTACCTGTGTTGCTTTAAGGAAAAATACAGCCGTCTTTTTAGGCTGTGGCTTTCTTTTCTGCCATCCTGTACAGGCTGAGCGGTGTTCATTGCATTTAAATCATGCTTGGTTTAGTAGTTGGGTTTTTTGTTTTTTCCAAACAGGTTTTTATGACTGTGGATGGAGCCACAACCTGGCTTCATTTCAGCTGCAAAAGAGGGAAAATTTCTAAATGATGTATTCTGATTATTCTTCTTTGGGACCATGGTGCCTTTTTAATCAGGAGAGTAAAACTTGTCCCAGGACTCTGTACTTTTGTACGTTAACAGTTGTTGACTTTCCTTTTTTGGTGTGTCCCAAATAAATTAATATAACATACCTCCTCGCTTTTGTTTCTTCTTTTCTTTCTGCTGGGGGAGTAAAGAGGAAACTGAAGCAAAAAATAAATATTCCCTACTTCAGCTCTTGCCTCGGTGCTCTTGCAGGAGCAGCTGTGAAGTGGATGTGCATCTGTCAGGACTCTGCAATGGAAGGAAAAGTTCCAGGAACCGGAGCCCAAGGTGAGAATTTAGGCTTCACATTTAGGCCTTTTTACAAAAAAAAAAAAAAAAAAAAAAAAAAAAAAAAAAAAACACACACTAAAGGTAAGGGCAGAGGGTGAAACAGAGGGTTTGAGGGTTTGGTGTTCAGGATTCAAGGCTGGGGGGCCTGACACCCCTTCCCAACAGCAGTGTCAGGCCAGTTGGCTCCCTCCCTCTTGCCCAACTCTGATTCAGGGATGTGTTTGGGCGTTTGCATTCCCAGGGGAAAGAATCTAAAGAAGGGATCTGGTGTAAAATATTTGCATTCTTATTTTCCAATCTCTGTTTTATCCAGGCTGTAAGCAGTCATCCAGGATGCCCGTGCGCAGCAGAGCTAGAAGCATTAAGGCAGTCTCATACCCTCTCCTTCCAGCTCTCCTCAGCCTATGACAGAGCCCCGCACAGTGCCCCAGAAGCAATCTTTTCTAGAAGATGTCCCCAGAACAGTTCAAAATCAGCTTGGCGACGAGGTTTCCCGTTGCTGCTGTGGAGATGTGGGCAACTGCCTCAGCTCCTGCCTGCCTGGAAAGGAGAAGAGGGGGTGTTGGGAGAAGGTCAGGGAGAAGAAACGTGGAAAAGGCAAGCAAGGCATCTGGGGAAGAGCACACGGCATCAAGCATGGTGTCTGCTTTGAGCCTTTTGCTCAAAACAGCACCCCAAAACCCTAGGGGGGCTGCTGCTCCCCCTGCTCCCCCGTGGTGCCAGCCCAGGGCAGCGTTTACCCCCCTTCCTGCAGGGCAGGGCTGGCTTTGCAGGCCCCAGGCTCTCCTCTATGCGTGGTGCTGCGGCAAGACGCAGCTCATCTGCCCCCTTGCTCTAGCTCTTCACCTGTGGGGCACGGGTGCTGCTCGGCCTTACGCCTGGCATTACATAAAAGAGAAGGTGCAAAACAAGCAGGTAATTGCTGTGCTGAAGGGGCCGGATGAGGAACACGAACTCTGCCCGCCGCTTGAGGTGCAGAAGCGGTCGTGCAGTTGGGCATTAAGACAAGTCCCGTCACGCCCAAGGAGCAAAGTGCCCTGGGAGCTGGGCCGGGGCCAGGCCTCAGCCGAGCCACGAGCGGCCCTGTGCTCAGAGCGGTGGAACAGGCTAAAGGGGAGCGAGAGGAAGGCAGACAAGCACGGGCAAGGTCAGCCCTTCCGCCAGGGAAAGCGTTGCAGCGTCAGGGCCGCTATCGAATCAAACAGCAGCCGCGAGCAGCAGCGCCCCGAGCTGCTTCCTCCTCCCCTTCCCTCCTCCTGCTGCTGGCGCTGCCGCCAAGCAGGGCGCAGGGCAGCGCAGCACCCGCAGCGCCGGTGCCACCGTCCTCATTTAACGAGCAGGGGCCGCCAACACGCTCCACTCGTCCTGCGCGGCGCCTGGGGGACAGGGGGTGACGTGTTTAAGCGCTGTGGCCCTTCAGAGGAGACGCTCCTGGTGGGGGGGAAGGGGCACACGGCTGCTCCTCCAGTGCTCCTAGAGCAGCTTTGGCCCTGGCACTGATCTTGACAAGCAAATATGCACTCAGGAACAGTTGGAGGCATTTATTATTATTATTATTAATTAATGTATTGTTTCTGCACCAGCTCCATGTTTTCCATGGCTGAGCCCTTCCCGTGGCACCTGGTTTGCTACCTGGGGCCATCGTCACCATCCCCCCTGTCCTCCCCTAGCAGTGGCAGGGCAGGGCTCACCACAGGGGATTTCAGCACCGGGATGACTGTTTGCTGATGGTTTTCATGCAGCATGGGGCAGCTGTGTGCAGGTGCACCGGGGTGGGACTTTCCTTCCCTTCCTCCTTGGGAACCAGCTGTGGCAAAGCCATGGGTGCTGCTCAGCCCTCAGACCCCTGCTTGCATCCCACAGACTCCATGGGGCTGCCTCACCTCCTCCTCCCTCTTGGCTGGCCAGGTTCCGCTCAGCCGCAGCTCTGGCAGGACGAGCAGGATGCCAGCTCCCATGGCCAAGTTTCTGGATGAGAGAGGTGGAAAGTCCACAAGTTTTGGGGCAGGGTGGCTCCAGTTATGCAGCCCTTAGCTGCATAGCCCTTAGTGCAGTAGCAAGCAGCACCTAAGGAGCTTAACAAGGTTCCTGGTTTCAGGGGCCAGGGCAGGTGAAAGCAATGAGCACCCAGCCTCTATTAAAGGGCCACAGCAGCCAGAGTCAGAGCCAGGCACAATGGCCAGGGCACTGGCCGATGGGGACCTGCGGCACCTGCTGAAGCGGCACCGCACCGAGATCGCCATGGCTGTGGATGATGTCTTCCCGCTGCTGCACGGCCTGGCCGATCACGACATCGTCACCGAGCACATGTTCAAGGTGAGGCGCCTGGCAGCGGCGGTGCCATGGGGACCCCCAGATGGGCTGATAGCAGTGACTGGCAGGAGACGCTGAGCCGGACGGAGCGGGAGGGCTGCCACCGGGCGCTGCACGCCCTGCTCACCTGGTTGCTGGGCCGCGACGCTGGCACTGTCCGTGACTTCTGGGCCGTCCTCTTCAAGGACTACAACCTGCAGTGCTACGCCGGCCTCCAACCCATCCGCCAGCACTTCCCCCCAGGTAGGCGGCTGGCCCAGGCAGCCACGGGCAGC